ATATATATATATATATATATATATATATATATATATATATATATATATATATATATATAAATATATATATATATATATATATATATATATATATATATATATATATATATATATATATATTATTATTATTATATAACTATGTTATAAATTGCCTTATTAGACAACATACAATGTCATACATGTGTGACTTCTTTTGTGAACACTGAGTTTACTAGAACAGAAAAATAAAAATTATACAGACCTAATAGGCTATATAATGTTGATTGTCACTAGCTACTTCCTAAGATTTGCACAACCCTAGTAATTGATACTGTCTTTTCATCAACAATGTAAAACTAGTAACAATCTATAAATATACAGAAAAATCTATTATTTTACTTACACTATTTGAAAACAAGTTTGTCCATCAAGTAGAGTGGATAATTATAGTTATTATAGGATTTTGAAAATTAAATAAACAAATTTTTCACATTTCAAAGAAAATGTTTTCTGCCATCAGCAGACTGCATACAAGTCACATGACCAACAAAAAATATTCTAGAAATGATAAAGCATTCAATTTATTTACCTGCTCTTCAGTTTTATTATTAACAGAACTTATTAACCAATGATATCACAAAATATCATTATTATTGAAATAAAAAAAATCTAAAATAAGTTAATTTATTACTATTGTTGTTATTATTACTATTATTATTGTTAATTATAATTTGACATTAATTTAAGGCATTTAATATGTATTGTATGTACAATTAATAAGCCTAATGGCTTAATGCACAATTGTACATACAATACATATTATGTAAACTTATTAGCATCATAAAATACACTATAGAAGTTAAAAATTCATGATTTTGCTTGATTTTGACATTGTTTGTCCTTGAAAACAAATTTCTATGTACACAAGTTAGATATTTCTAGATTCTATAAAAAAAGAACTTTCTAGATTTGATAAACAAATTATCATAGGATCAAAGACTGATTTCTAAATATTTATCCAAATATGTCCAAATTGGAGATGTAGAATGCAATTTACTCCGATATTCTAGAACTTCATGACCCTTGGGGATCCCTAAATATTATTTAAATGATCTAAAAAAAAATTAGGTGTTATTATGGGACCTTAAAAAAACTTTTAGGAGGGACTGCATCAGCAATTAAAAAAAAAACTGTTTTGGGAGACCCTAATGTGTGTGTATATATATATATATACATATATATATATATATATATATATATATATATATATATATATATATATATATATATATATATATATATATATATATATATATATATATATATATATATATATGTATATATATATATACATATATATATCAAGGGTTGAATTAAGCGATCGCGAAATGAAAAATCCAGAAAAATATCTGGTTTTCAAAACTTTAGTTTATGCAAAGTAATGTACTTTGTTTTTAAGGAGCAAATTACTTTTTTTTTGATTAATGCGGTAAGTAATTTTGATAATGCGGTAGTGGTGTAGTGGTAAAACACTCGCTTCATAAGCGATAGGTTTGGAGTTCAATCCCCACCATGCCAAATAATATTGCGCCAATATTATCCCATTATTGTTTTACTAATATTCATATGCCAATATTGGCGAAATATTTTTTGCCAATATTGGCTTTATATTAAACAGTTTATATTGGGCAATGTTGACATTTTTACATATCGGTACGCATGCGTAACATTATGGAATATTCATAATGTCCTTTAGTTCTGTTAAATGTGTTTAAACGTAAATAATAGCTTTTTACATAAACAGACATCCTTATGTTACTAATTTTTTACAAAAAAAAATCAGATTTAAAAATAAAAAATTTAAGTTATGAAAAGAGAAGAAGTAGGAAAAGTATTTTTAATTCAACATTTACAGAGTGAATCAGAAGTGTTGGTAATTTAT